ACTCCAAATTTCAAAATGGCGGATTGAGGGGTTGCCGAAGTGGACGGTCTTTCTGGACAAAACACCTTACATCTCAGTAGCTAATTACCAATACCCCATAGTATGTTATATCAATCTTCTTATTTTGAATTGGTTTATCCAAATATGCAATAAAATGTGATTCATTCCATTTAAAAAGTAACAACTTTGATAGGGTAAAGTCGGATAAAGCGTACCGCCGGGTAAATCGTACCACCACCGTTTTCAAGAGAATTATTTACTACCCGTGGCATCTCTTGGCAAAATCCAAAAGCTTTGAGGATTATATTTTTCCCGCCCAAGCTAATAATTGCCGCTCACTTCACCCTGTCAGTCAGTTTGAGGTTAAATTAAGAGCAGTGTTGTTGATGTTATTTTTTGCTCCGGTTCATAAGCTTTTTTCTTACATTTGGTAAGTAGATACTTTTAAGATGTATTATTCACGTATTTTATGGACGTGTAGTTAGTTGTTGCTGAAATTATCAATTGGAAATACGTTTGTTTAGGTTGAAATTTTATATAAAAAAGTAAAATTGTGCTTGTGTCGTATATCGTACCACCGACAGTTTTGTAAATCGTACCGGTACGATTTACCCAACCGAGACTTTTTGCTCCATTTTTCATAAGTTTTTGTTACAGGAATTCAAAAAAGAAGATGAGTAAAGTAAATAATAAGAAAAAAAACAAAACGGGAATACTGTGGATGGACCTCAGAAGATATGGATCATGCAATTAATGCATACAAACAAAACCAATGTGGTTTTAATGAATGCTGCAGGCGCTATAACATTCCAAAGCCAACCTTTAGAAGGCATTTGCGCTCTTTAAATAAAAAGGCAAATGAAAATGTCAAGTCTTTGGGTCGTCACACAACCTTCAGTCCTGAAACTGAAATGGAATTGGCAAAACATATTTTGAAGCTGGAAGAAAGATTTTTTGGTGTAACAATTCGGGATGTTAGACGATTGGCTTTCCAAATAGCTGTTCGGAATGATATTCCACATCGCTTCAACATCAACAAAGAAATGGCGGGAAAAGGATGGTATTATTCTTTTATGAACCGACATCCTGAACTGTCACTAAGGCAACCAGAGAAAATCTCCATGGCTAGAGCAACTGGATTCAACCAAAAAAACGTCCATGAGTTTTTTGATATCTTAGAAAGATGTGTTGATGAAAACTGTTTTACGGCTCAAACAACTTATAATGTTGATGAAAGTGGATTTTCAACTGTTCGAAAACGGAATCAAAAAATAATTGCACGTAGAGGAAAGCACCAAGTTGGAGGTATAGCAAGTGGTGAGAGGGGCGTAAATACCACAGTTGTCGTTTGTGCCAGTGCTGCCGGTCAAACTGTACCACCCATGATCATTTTCAAGAGAAAACGTATGGCTCCAGAGCTAACCATAGGTGCAATATCTGGCAATATTGTTACAATTTCAGATACTGGATATATAAATAGCGAACTTTTTGTTAAATGGTTAAAGCACTACATTGAGTACGTAAAACCAAGTACCGAAAAAAAAGTTTTGCTTTTGCTGGATGGCCACACAACGCACTTAAAAAATCTGGAAGCACTCATTTTAGCTAAAATGCATGGAATTGTACTACTGCAACTTCCTGGCCATACTACAAATCGGTTACAGCCATTAGACGTAAGCTTTTTTAAACCTATGGAATCCTATTTTTCTCAAGGTATTGAAACTTTTATGAGAAGCAATCCTGGTAACACTGTTACTCAATATAACATGACTGGATTGCTCTCTGATGCCTATGCAAAAACTGCATCAATAAGCAACATCATGGGTGGTTTTAAAAGAACTGGAATATGGCCGGTTGACCGTACTGTATTTTCTGATTTTATCGCTGCTAGCGCCTTGCTTGAAAATGATTCAGAAACATAAAGGGAGGATTTAGGGGCAATAAATCCACGTGAAACGACTATTGAGCCTGAAGACGAAGCTACTGAGCGACCAGTTAAAAGTAATAGTACTGAACTAAACAACAATTGCAACTCAACAGATCTGAATACCTCCATTGAAGAAATTTATCCTTTACCTGAGAATGAAGGTAATGCTAAGAAAAGAAAATTGTCTCAACCAGCCGTCATTTTAAGCAGTACGCCCTATAAAGATGAATTGGAGAGCAAGCGTAATCAAAGGCAGAACTCAATTAAAAAAGTAAAGAAAAATCTCGGGCTTTCTTCTACTTCCCTTTTCGAAGCACGTGACGACCAAACTTCCACTTCAAAATCTGATGTCGTAAATGCTCAAATTGAATATGATACTACTGAACGGTACTGCCATATATGTGAAGAGAACATTACTGAGGATATGGTGAAATGTATGAAATGTGAGAAATGGGCCCACACATCATGTGCAGGAACTAAAAAGCAAATAAAAAAATATGTGTGTGAGAACTGTAAATAAAAAGTTAGTGGTACGATTTAAAAACCGACGGTACGATTAAACCAACCTGTTCGCTTAATCGTACCGTTTGCAAGCATTTTTATTTTTGTATTTTTTTTGCTTAAGATGTTGTTTGATTTAGTTAAACTCTTGATTAAGGAGAAAATAAATGTTTATATTTGCTTGTGTGCTAATATGAATGCTGAAGAGTTTAATTTCTGAGTACAGTGGTCAATTATTTAAAAATCGGTACGATTTACCCTACTCTACCCTATGTAGCTCAAAATTGGGACACCCTGTATAATTGCTAATATTTTAGAAATGTGCCCTCAAATGTCATGTATAACATGCCATAAATGGATTTTCTCAAAATGTATTTGTTTATGAGTAATATTCCGTCCACACATGGATGGGCCACCCTATATATATATATATATATATATATATAAGTTCTCGGAGCTCTCCGATACAGCTTATTCACTGAATATACCTAGAATAATACCTTTAAAATTTCAGGATCGTATCGCAAATATTTATGTAGTTACAGCTAACCAAACGTTAACCTGGCCTATTTGGTACAGGTACCTTATACTCTGTTCTCAGCACTTGGTCACTCAGCTAAAGGTCACCTCATGGGCCTAATTCTATTGAAATACCCTACGCGTATGGCTATCTCAAATTTGGTTATCCTTAAGTAGGTAGTGTAAGCGCCAGCGGCTAATTCAAAAAAAAATCTGGTTGAGGCTACGTCCTGCAACGTATAAAAGAGCTAAAATACACAGTTAATACATTGGGTAATTGGCTAGTGTGGGGCAAATAAAAAATAATAAGGCATTGCACCTACTGCCTATGGAAACTTACAACTTAGTAAAGATTCTCACCAATTGTTAGCATGGTGTAAGATCTGACTAAAAGACAAACCATTCAATTTGTTTCAATTCAATGGACTTTATTGTACTTAGCATAAACAGACAGTACATTTACAAATGGTGAAGTCTGATCAATGGCTATTGATACTTAACCATGTCATAACCTTATTACTACCTTAACCTAACACCTAGCCCAACGGAAAATAATTACGCCATAGAAAAAATAAACCTAATCAAAAAGCTCTCTCTAGACGGCCTTGGTACCAATCCGATGGATCAGGAAGAAACATAAGATGAACTTTTATTTAAAACTGGGGAAAGAAAAAAAAAAGAAAATGACTAAGCATTTTATAAATAAATCTTTTTGGTTTTTCAAAAGTTGCTAATAAGGTTTTGATCAAATGAATTGTAGGTACATGAAGGAGCGTGGAAATACGGCTGTCCTGTATTGTGGTTGTTACTCGTATCCAAATTGTGAAATAAATTCCTATAAACAAGCTTTTGCTTATGGTAAGCGTAACAGCAGTTTTTAATATTTTGATGACAAATGTGACAAAGTTGTGTGAAAGCTATTGAGTGAGAAACCTGATCATACCTTCTTAAATCGTTTATATAGCGGGAGCATGTATTTTAAATTTTTTGCAGCCTGTATTTTGTTATTTCCTCCAGGCATGGTTGATGAACAATATTTTACTCAGTATTAATGACTCAAAACATTTTCTTAATTTTTCTATTTTATAGATATATAGTTTTATTTGCATAAGTATAGAAGTCTTAGTCTGAGATAACTAGGCTTACACACATGGCTAAAATGCTTCTCGAACCTGACACCTTCGTTCAAATATACCTAATCCTAAATTATTTGCGTAGTGGCAAAACGTAAGTCAGGTAGGTATTATAGATAGGTATGTTTAATATTGATTTGACGAAAGCACGCTTTTTCTTGGAGCACAAAAGTAAACCTGTCGATTTGGATGCATTGAGCCGTAAATTGTGCTCATGTGTTAGTTATTCGGAGAGAAAGTATAGAAAACTTGAATATCATCAGCATAAGACTGTCTTGAACAATGTTGAAGAGTGCTAGCGATATTAAAAGTGCATATGATGAACAGTAGAGGTCCTAATATGGATCCCTGAGGTACGCCGGAACAAAAATAAGCCTTTTTTCTAAATGTTTATATTGTATCACGACATATGGATGTCGTCCATTTAGATAACAGTCTATCCATGTTTCTAAGTTTATGTCCTCCTCATTAATAGTGAGACAACTTAGTGAGGTGGTGATCTTAGTAAGGATGGCGTCGTGAAGAGATGAACTGCTCCGCCATGTACGTGGTCTTATATATAAAACATAGGTACCAACCATTTCAGCTATATGTATAGGCCTGAATATTTAAAGCGTTACTTCTATTGGAGGAAACACCTGAGCTGTGATGGACAGGCATGTCATAAGATATCAAAGGTTAATTGCATACCCTCAAACCACGCCAGCTCTTCCCAAGCAACAATTTAACTTCCCAACCCACCAGTCCACCATGTTACCCGATCTACCTACCGTCGGTAAGCTGATACTTTCTCCTCCAAACCCAAACACTAACAACATACCCCCAGGGGACACCAGCACCCTCTATCTCTACATCGACCACTCACAGACGCCGTTAGTGGCGCCCTCTTAACGGCGGCGATCTCTTCCGCTCCAATGAGCCTATAACAAGGCTCGATCGATGCCTAGGCTCCGCCCGTTGCGTTTCGTCATTGGCTGCAGCGCACGGGCGGAGCACGCTATTGGCCATAAGCACGGCACACCTTGGACTAGGTGAGGAAAGCTCTGTCGGACTCATTCCCCAGTGTGTCGCGTTCTCTTCTGTGGAGTGTGTCCTTCATAGAGACGCATACATCGTCTTGTTAATACCTCATTAGCTCCGGGATAGTTCTTTATTCGAGTAGTGAGCAATTGCTTAATTGGTCAGAAGCTAATTCAAGTTTTGTTGGCGCTCGTGTGCTGTCAAGGGTTTGTTGATTTTTTCGCGCGGGTAAAATTGATGTTTGATAGGACTGTTAAGTGAGGCGGTTGGCGACGGTGTTTTGTCTTCTCAGGAGGAGGTGAGTAATTGATTGATTTTAATTAATTTCGTATCTAGTATGATTTAATAAAATAACTATAGATTCTCATGTCATTATATTAACTTCCAATAAACTTCCTAGTTATCTACATTCAATGACTAAAGTGTTATTTATACCTTCAAAAAGAAAACTAAAGGTCTTTAGAACAAAGCTATAAAACAATTTTGAGCTTTGTGTTTAAATTGCTCTGAAAACATTTTCCATATTTTTTTATATTTATAGAGCTGTCTCATTAAAATACTACACAGAACGTTCTATTCGTCATCGTCTGTCAAAGCGACCCGTTGACCTTTGCCTCTTGGTTAAACACAGATAACGGATCTATAAGTATAAAACTCTTCCGTAAATGTATTTTGAGCAATCATGTATCTTGGTTGAAGCTATTAAAAAATGTAACTCATCATTAAACACTGAAAGGATCAACTCATTACAAAATTGACCCTACAATAATTTTTATATAAGTATTTATACTGCTGCACTGTTGTACAAAACCTTTACAACTTTTTAGACAGATCTGTATAAAACTGTGAGTACCTACAAAACGTGTCGCAACATCAATAAAACACTTATAAAAATAATCTGCTATGAAATTGCTCCTTAAGCATCAATTTCTCAACCCTAGTCATCATCTGCTGTGAAAACCATTACAGCAATTTTTATATCTACAACTAATGAAGCTTTTTAGTCATATTGCGTATATAAATAAAATTGTTCTTTAAATGCTTTTGTATTATTCGAATGAAGCAATTTGAGATTATATCCTAGTAATATGCAATAACACATTGCACAACACCTAAAAAAATATACAATAAGAAATATTCCTCATACAATTTCGAGCCTTCATCTGTAGATAACCTCTCTGAAATCAGGTACAATAATTTTATAGCCACATTCACATTATTTATTTTATAAACACATTACAAAATTGTTCCTTAGACACCAATTTTGAGCATTGACCTTCAACTGATCTGAAAACCCATACAATAATTTTTACACCTTACACGTTTGCGGACGAAAATCGTTTTAACAAAGTACTATATACAACCTTTTGGTCAGATGGCAGATACCTATCTTCACTGTAGTTTAACTGTAGGAAAAGTAACAAAAATGTTTTATTTGAGCTGTATCCTACGTATTTGGTAGGCATTTTAATAAAATTTTTCACCCAAAAAATATCCAGTCACATACGATGTCATAATCTTTGTAACATATTAAAGTAATACTGCTGTAGAAAATGTTTTGTGCAATAAGGCTTACAAATAGTGACAATTGATATTCATTTAGGTAGTGGAAGGTAGTCCACGGTTAAATTATCTCGTCAAATAAAAATCATTTATTATTACCAGTTCAGAATACAGAAATAGGAAGGTAATAGGTATTTGTTATTTCGTAACATTTGTCTTCATGATTCTTTCCATTAATCATATACCGTTAATTATAATATCTAATAATTTGCTTATTTCCTTTCTAACATCCATTTTTCATACGTTCAGTCAGGAAACATAAAGTCCGGTAGGTATTAAGTGTTGGTATGTTTAGTGCATGCTACTCTAAAAATTAAACTGATAGTTGGGTATCGTAAACAAAGTCCAAGATCAGACCCGTTAAAGCTAAAAGCCTACAAGCGACAGTGACCTCCTGAAGTGATCAACAATTTGGTCCAGGATATTCTTGGGTTTCTGACCTGATACGTGCCAGTCATTACTATCTAAAAAACTGGCGGCAAGTAAGTTGGCGCTTTATTTCTCATGCCACACAGTCATTAGTTCGTAAAGGACTATATTTGGCACAAGTTAGCAAATTAGCAATCAGGGCAAAAATTGAGATTTACCCTCCTCCACCTTCTGCAACTACTAACCCCCAATGTTTAATCCCTACAAAAATTTGCCCGAAAATGGTCAGGATCGTCTACAAAGTTAAAAAACGGCGTTTGAGCATTTTTATTTTTTTGTTTTGTTTTTGGCCTTTTTCTGTCTCAAAAACTACAAAGCTTTTTCGTCCTTGGCTTAGTAGTATCTAACATTGTGTAAGAATTTCATCGAAATCCAAGCGGTGCGTCTCAGGTTATAGGCGCTTATAAGATTTGAGGACAGTCAGACCGATGGAAATGAATGACATGGTTTTACGTGATATATGTACATGTCATATAATAACAACAAACGTAATACCTCATTTTCGAACATTTTCGCGATTACAATACCTTCCCGCCAGTAGGTGTGGGAAGTAAAATTATCGACAGCAAGATTGAGAAAACCATCATCCTTGTCGACGCCACATTTCATGACCGAAGTGCACCACAGACTTGGCAGGTCTTGATTTAACAAGGTATCTTTGATTAGAGTCGGAAGTCGCATTGGGCAGGGATAGATATGTCAGTGTAAACACTAATGGGTAGAAAAAAGTCATGTCGATTCGGGAAATTAGATTAACCTCAGTGTGGGGCAAATACTTTACGTTGCAAAAGACACGGACGCGCTTAAGTAAGTAATCGCCAGCCTTCGTTGAAGAAGACGTCATGAAGGAGAAGAATCGCTAACTTCCTCTGAGGGAAGAAGTGCCACCAGACTAGAGAAAGGGTGAAGTTCAAAATATCGATCATTCTGTTAAGTAATGAGTCTCTGCCATAAGATTGTGCTCCGGGCTTTAACTACAAAATGTATAAATAACTAGTGCATCTATATCCCTAGACTACTACCCGGTTCCTTAGCGCTCCCTTTCCCTTCTGGAACATATATCAACAAGCGTCGCAGGGCAAATCCCATAAATACCTACCGCCAGATAAATTGTTACTAATTAGTAGATAGGGCAAAGGGCTGCGTCTCTTTGTGGCGCTCCTCCATTCCGCAGACTTAATTTTATTAACTTTATTACTATAAGAAGAATTGGAATGAACTCAAACTGGCAGCGTGATTTCAGATACATGGAGAGCTATTTGAATGTCCTGCAAGAAGATGAATATATAAACATTGAATATTGTCATGAAAAACACTAAGTTTATCCAACACAGTACTGCAGGTATTTTTGCTAGCATCATTAGGATCAACTTAACCGCTTCTATGGGAGCGAAAAAAATTAAATTCAATCCATTTCCCTCAAGCTCCGGGTGAAAGTAGAATATCCTTTAAAGACGGGTCTACTCCGATCGTGAACGAACTAGACGTAGGAAATACACATTCAGTATTAATCTGAAAGTAGTGTATGTCGTCAGTATTTTCCATAAGATGTCCATTGAGCTTCTCAGCGTCAAGGTCCTTTTTACATTTTGATACGTGCAGCCAGCACCGTCGTTTAACATCAACGGCTGCAAATTTGGTGTCCGTACCGGTAATCAAAATGTTATTGCTTGTTGAGGATTTATTGACACGTCTGTTTCTTCTAGTGTTTTTATTTGGTACTCCATATTTTTTGTTGATGATGCAGATTTCGAGTCAGGATCTTCTTTGAATACAGCCACGTCCATAATGGTGGAATCACTGGAGGATATACAAACCTTGGTTCACCGAGTTAATAACAATTAACAAAATCGATTAAAATTCATGTTTATATCCAAGAGCCAAGTAGGCAGTTGATAACTGAGGCTGGATGGAAGACCCATAAAACGGGTAGAAAAATGCAAATATTCAGGAATGTATAGTATATCATATCTGACCTTGAAAACGACATTAACATCGAAATCGATATATCGTTCACCAAGTGTAGGTTTTTAATCCCTTATCGCACGCCGTACTCTTTCTCCAACGAATAGTAAAAGTTTTCTTGACTCCGCCAGCAGCAGGCGCACTTTCACGGCCAGCCTTTGTGGCTAATTGCTTCCTGGGAGCTTTGCTTTGTAATAACAATGCATCACTATATCTAAGACTATGTTTTTTGGGCTCTAACGTAATACTAAACTAAGTAAAAACATGGACCCATAGGACAAAAAATGTGTAGCTCTACAGAATAATATTAAAAATCATTCAGGCCGCAAGAGAGACCAATGCGGAAGTACTAATATTGAGAGAGAAAGAACTTTACTAGGGATTAAGAAACGTCGAACGGCCGCATACTAAGAGGTGAGAAGTAACATACTGTTACATTCGTGAATGGAAGGGTGGATGGTAGACGTGCTTTCGGAAGCAAACAGAAGTCTTGGCTCAGAATTATAAGAAATGGGTGCGACATGAGTGTGCCGGTGTTGGTCCACGCAGTCGAAGATAAACGTTTAAATTACAGGTAGCCAACTTGCAATATGAGAAAGCATTAAAGAAGAAGCATGCAGGCTGTGTGCTTAGAACTACCTTAATGCAGAAGAAACGCAGGTTTATAAACCTTGTTGAAACTGCAAGGAGAAGAACATAGACAACAGAAATAAAACTAAAACATGACTAAAAAATAAAATCAAGAAAGGGGAGGCTTTGAATCTCTCCATATGAAAAATATATCCGAGCGTTACAGATCTCAATTAACTTTGCCAGATTTCTTTGGAGTCCCCTGGATAAAATCATAACGTGCACTAAAAACTCAGTAATATTAGCAGTCATGGGTCATCGGCCATACTCGCGAAAAAAACTGTTTATCTATGCAGGAGCAGGCGCAGCGTTTTACCTTAGATCCCATTGGGTTTTCTTCTTGCATTGCATCTTCATGTATATCTTTTCAGGAGAATGAAAATATTTTTGAATTGCCTCAAATTTTCTTGGGGTTCCTAGAATCTCTCCGCGCTTCCTCCAGGTAAAATCATAACATTCACCTAAAAAATCAGTAGAATTAACAACCATGTGTTAACGGCTACAGAAATACAACGTAAAATTCCGAACTATGTGAAAAAAATTCTGACATCCATAGCTATCAAACTAGGACCTGCAACTCCTTCAGATTAATTATGCATTATACATCGATTTATGAACAAAGTCCCTTATACATGGGCCATTTACTTCTCAATTCATTGACGAAATCTATAAGATGCTTCAATGAAAAAAAAGAGTAAAGAGTGCTCAAGA